TATATATATATATATATATATATATATATATTAAGTATATCTACTTATACACTTATTATCTAATTGTTAAATTTATTAATTTCCTATCATAGTAGTTAATTGTTACATTTATTAATCTCTTATCATAGTAGTTAGTTGTTAATTCGAAATTAATTATTTAATTCTTAAACTAGTTAATTGTTGCATTTATTAATCTCCTATAAAAACTAGTTAATTGTTAGTTTGTTACATTTATTAATCTCTTATCATAGTAGTTAATTGTTACATTTATTAATCTCTTATCATAGTAGTTAGTTGTTAATTCGAAATTAATTATTTAATTCTAGAACTAGTTAATTGTTGCATTTATTAATCTCCTATAAAAACTAGTTAATTGTTAGTTTGTTACATTTATTAATCTCTTATCATAGTAGTTAATTGTTACATTTATTAATCTCTTATCATAGTAGTTAGTTGTTAATTCGAAATTAAAAACTAGTTAATTGATAGTTTGTTACATTTATTAATCTCTTATCATAGTAGTTAATTGTTACATTTATTAATCTCTTATCATAGTAGTTAGTTGTTAATTCGAAATTAATTATTTAATTCTTAAACTAGTTAATTGTTGCATTTATTAATCTCCTATAAAAACTAGTTAATTGTTAGTTTGTTACATTTATTAATCTCTTATCATAGTAGTTAATTGTTACATTTATTAATCTCTTATCATAGTAGTTAGTTGTTAATTCGAAATTAATTATTTAATTCTTAAACTAGTTAATTGTTGCATTTATTAATCTCCTATAAAAACTAGTTAATTGTTAGTTTGTTACATTTATTAATCTCTTATCATAGTAGTTAATTGTTACATTTATTAATCTCTTATCATAGTAGTTAGTTGTTAATTCGAAATTAATTATTTAATTCTTAAACTAGTTAATTGTTGCATTTATTAATCTCCTATAAAAACTAGTTAATTGTTAGTTTGTTACATTTATTAATCTCTTATCATAGTAGTTAATTGTTACATTTATTAATCTCTTATCATAGTAGTTAGTTGTTAATTCGAAATTAATTATTTAATTCTTAAACTAGTTAATTGTTGCATTTATTAATCTCCTATAAAAACTAGTTAATTGTTAGTTTGTTACATTTATTAATCTCTTATCATAGTAGTTAATTGTTACATTTATTAACTTTCATATAAAAACTAGTTAATTGGTAAACTAGTTAATTCAAAATTAATTGCTTAATTGTTATTCGAATTTAATATTTGTTATATTTTTAATGTGGAGCGTGCTAGAGCTTCTGTAGATATAGGTAACCTCCGCCGCAACCGAACAAATGAGATTGCGAGGAATGTTCCAAGGTCACGCAAAGGTAAGGGAGGGCCGGGGTCTTCATCTCAAACCCGAGATGATTTTGATGCGGATTACAAGCAAAGATATGGGGATGCGACGTCTGATGACCAACTAGAACAACTTTTGCAACAAAATCAAGGACGTTTTATTCATCAACAAGACATCCCGCAAACCATTGACGAAGAAGAGCTTGAGGGTGATGATGCGGAGGACGAGGATCATGGCACATCGGATGATGAGGAAGAGGAAGCGGAAGTGGCTACTTCTTCCCAAGCCGGTGGGAAATCTGAATCTGTCTTTAAGGCAAATTTTACAAAAGTTAAAGACCTCGAAACCGAGATATGGTACGCCACTTGCAAGCATTGCAACAAAAAGTATAACTTGGGAATTTCTGGAGGGTACGGGAGCGCCACAAGGCATCTTAAGGCCAAGCACTCGGCGGAATATGTGAAATCGGACAAAGGCAAGGGAAGGCAAACCCAAATTTCAAGGTTTGCAACTGGACAAGCCTTTGGTAATTTCTCCTATGATGATCAAAGACATTTGACTGGTATGTCTCATTTAATTGTTGAAGAAAATTTGCCTTTTATTTTTTCGGAAAGTCTTGCTTTAAAAGAATATGCTCAAGGTTCTTTAAATCCCCAATTTCGAAACCATAGTCGCAAAACAATTAAAAAAGAAGTTATAAGGCAATATGTTTTGGAAAAGCAAAAATTACAAACGTTTTTTGCAAACTTTGATGGACGTGTTAGTATATGTAGTGATATATGGGAGGATACTCATCATCATTTATATTATTTGGGTTTGACTGCACATTATATTGATGATGATTGGTGTATGCATAAACGTGTTCTTGCTTTTGATGAATTTAATGATAGACACACCGGTGATAATATTTATATTCTCATTGAGCGTATTTTAATTGAGTATAATTTGATTAATAAGGTGTTTGCAATTGGTTTTGATAATGCTACTAATAATACTGCTGGTATTCCTAGATTGCGTGAATTGTGTGGTTCATCTTCTTTGATGGGTAGGTTTTTTAATCAGTGTTGTGCATGTCATATTTTAAATTTATGTGTAAAGGACGGCCTAGCGGCGTTGGGAGATGCTATGGAGGTGGTGAAGGGGGGAATTAAACTTATTTGGGCTAGTTCTCAACTTAAGATGCAATGGAGAATTTTTTTGAAAGAAAGACGTGTCAAAGATTGTGCTTTTCCTAAAGATTTGTCTATTCGTTGGAATAGTACTTATAACTTAATTAAGGTGCTTATTAGATTTAAAAAATATTTTCCTGCTTTTTTAAAAGAATATGCTAACTATATTATAAACCCGGTCGACATCGACACTTGTGAAAAAGTTTTGAATGTTTTGGTGTATTTTAATAATGCAACTCTAACTTTTAGTCATGTTTATAAACCTACCGCAAACCAATTTTTTGTTGAAGCTGTTAATCTCGCCGGCGCTTTTTGTGAATTTGCTGATGCCGCTTACGTTAGTTATTTTTGTGACTTCATGAAACAAAAGTTTTTAAAATATTATTCCTATATTCCGCATATATATAGTATTGCATTTATTCTTGATCCTCGTTTTAGACTTGCTGATGCCGGAGCAATGTTTAGATTACTATTATGCTTCTTTTTTTTTGGGCCATTGCCTATGTACGACGACAAAGCTATAGACCCGAAACAACAATTTCAAGAGGTTAGTAATTTATTATATCAATTATTTAATGAATTTCATGCACAATATGGTAACGCTGCACAATATGGTAACGCACCCCCTGCCCCGCCACGAACATCTTCTTCATCTAAAGGAAAATCAATTTTGAAATCTGCATTTGGCAATCTTATGAGAAAAAGTAAATCGACTCCGGTTAATGAACAAAGCTCGATCAACGAGCTTTCTTTGTATCTAACATTTTCTGTTGAGTATGAAGAAGGGGATGACTTTGACGTTCTTCAGTGGTGGAAGGAAAAAGAGAGAATGTTCCCGATCTTATCAAAGATGGCTCAGCAAGTGCTAGCAATGCACGTATCAACAGTTGCTGTGGAACAAGTGTTTAGTGCGGTCGGCAACATCCTAACGGATTATAGGACGAGATTGAGCGCAAACTCTCTTGAGACGCTTGTTTGCTTCCACGATTGGTTGAAGGCCAAACGTAGAACTCAAGAAATTAGCATTAAACCCACCCGCCACTTTATGAAAGAAACAACTGAAGATGACGGAAATTCTGATTGATTCTTATTCATTAAAAAGTGTATTTCATGTTGTAATTTGTGCTCAATTTCCAATTGTATTACATATTTCAAATTAATACAGTTTAAATTTTTATGCCCAACTAATCTGAATTTAAAAAAAACAGCCCAGGCCCGGCCCGGCCCGAACCGGCCCACAACCCGGCCGGGTAGGCCCGACCCGGACCGGACCCGGTATCACCCCGGGCCGGTTCCGGGCCCATCATTCAACAAAAAAAGCCCGCCCGGGCCCGGCCCGGAACCGGACCGGCCCGGGTCCATACCTACTTAATTTCATCTTTTGTCCTGCTTTTATTTGGACTAGTCCAATGTAATCTGATATGGTCTGGTCTAGTTTGAGTTATTCTGTATTTGTATGATCTGGTCTGATCTAGGATTGAAATCAATCCAAGTAAAACGATCACAAATTTTCGATAATTTGGAAGGAATATTATTATTTTTAATTATAAATGAATAAAATATAATTATTTATGGATTATAATATTTATTAAAAATAAAATCTTTATGCAAAAAATATAAAAACTAAAATTTTAGACCAAAACAGACCAGACCAAAACAAACCAGCATATTACGACGCAGCAAGTAAAAACATCCTATATCACCAACTCTGCATAAAAATTACGAGAGAAAAAAAAAGTTTATTACATTCACATCACACCTGAAATCCAACTCTACTGTCCATTTGCCTCAAGCATACGACGCAGCATTTCTAGTAATCTAGTTATCTAGGTCAGGGTAGGGGTGGACTCGGGCCGGGCCAACCGGCCCGGAACCGGACCGGCCCACTACTGTGCGGGCCTGGACCGGCCCGGGAACCGGTTGGTTGGACGGTTCAGGCCACCTGGCCCGGTGGATTCTCGGTTCGGGCTCGGGCCCTTGTAAAGGTGAACCGGCCCGGCCGGTTCGAGCCCGGGCCGGGCCAATTTTAATTTTTTTTTTTTTGAATTTTTTTTGAATTTTTGGGTTGGGCTAGGTATTTTGGGCCATTTGAGGTGGTTAGGGTTGGTTTGAGGGTGAGGGGGAGGGGTGGGGGTTAACTAGGAAAAGCCCCCCCAAAAAAAAATACCCGAGGCCCGGCCCGGCCCGGCCCGGACCCGAGGGTTACCCGGGCCGGTTCCGGGCCTCCCCTTCTTGAACCGAGGCCTGGCCGGACCCAGGCCCGAACCGGGTCCGAACCGGAACCGGTCCATGCCTAGGTCAGGGTAGATCTTGAAATGTTGAGTATTATAGCTGGGTCGCCCCTTGGCCCCCTTCTACGAAAATAACGAAAGGCAGCATTAGCACCTTCTGTGAATGTTTGGCCAGTCTATTCTCCAACTCATCAAGTTAAAACCTTAAATGCATTTTTAGCATCAAACTAAACCTATCATTACTCTCTGTAACGATGCACGATGTATATAGAAGCTGCTATATGCATGGACAAAAAGGTAATGGCTACTTTGCATTGTGAAAGCAGAACAGCATGATTGGAATTAGCATAACACTGAAACCCGCAAACCAGAGTCTCAAAATGACGTAATCATAGATGAAAGCAAGATCAATGTCACATAGACAAACTGTAAGTCAAAACTTTTGACAAGTGACTATAAAGTGAAAGCTACGAGTGCACGTGCTCTTCCATGTTCACACGCTGTAACGGCTTTTGGCTGATCTACTTTTAGAATCGTCCTGCAGTGGTGATGAAAGAAAGATTAAGAAAACAAGGTTCACTAGCAAAATAAAGCGACAATAAAGCTCTTCTATATGTAGTAAATGAATTTTACATGGAAACTATAAGATATCTTCTCAGTTACGTCAAGCAACTCTTTCCATTTCCTACCAATGCCCATCTGCAGACAAATAGCATTAGTCAGCTCTCTTCAGAGACAATGTCAGCATCAAGGTATCACAGTTCAAAACACATAAAAAATACTTTTTAAGAGTACGGGTGAATGGTAATTGGTAAATGATTAATTACTTGATCAAATCTGAACTTCTTATCAAGATCAGATATTATGGCATATTGTATATTACCTCTCCGCATGAAATGACAATACATTCAGATTTTATAAGAACATATGACAAACATGCAAATAACAACTGAGAATGAGCGGATAATAACAACAGAAATCCACATAACACAATTAAAAAAGGACACCAAATTGATTCATTCCTTTAAATGTCAATATTCAAGAATGTGGCTAAATTGTCCATTAATCCGTATAGTCATCTGACATGAAATGATTGTCTTTGTCATTCTTTAGTTAGCTTATCCTGTTTAAACAAGGTCTCAATGCTAGATTTCTATCTCGTCCCATAAAGGGAATTAGGAATCCTGTTTTACAAGTCCTCTTTTTTATTAAAAAAAAGTTCCATTTTATGAAATGCAAATAGTTTTTCATGCCATAACTTTACTTTTAAATTACATTGTGCCATGACAAAACCAGGGCCGTCTAATGAACTTAGAGGCCCCACTTCTAAACGTAATATCAAGGCCCCACTTTAAGATAAAAAAATTTAAAAAGAAAACCTCAATACAAATATTTATACTCAAATCAATTGAATACTTATTAAAAAAGAACTAAAAGAATAAAAGGATCAACGAAAAAATGATGAATCTATATTTTTCTTCCTTACTAACTGTATTTTACTGATTATTATTAATATATAATATTAGTATATAATACTATTTGTTTAAAATATGGGGCACAATAAATTTGGAGGCCATGTTCTGGATAAACTATTGAACCCCTTAAAAAACGCCCCTGGACAAAACATAAAAGTCATACAGTGATCAAATACAACTTTTTCAACTTTTTCAGGACAAAGGGAGTAGTACATATATAAGCATTTGACATGCAATATGCAATGATCACGTCTATATGACCTTTCATATGCTTCTCAAGATTCCCCATTAATTATTAATACATATAAGATGCCAACTAACAGGTGTCTAAATGATCCCTCATGCACTATGTACATTATTTTGGACACCCAACAAAAACACTGCACATTATTTTCATAAACCATTTTGGTCATCATAACTTAGCACCATCATTCTACAACTCTACATCATACACCCCATTAACAATTTTCATGTAATGAGGGCAGTGTCTTTCAATAGCATCTTAGAATGATTATCTCTAATATTATGTACCTGGGCTGCTACAGATTCCCCATTAATTATTACTCCCTCCGTCCCGAAATAATTTTCCTGCTTTCCTTTTCGGTCCGTCCCGAAATAATTGTCTCCTTTCCTTATTTGGTAAACAAATCTATACAAAACAGTGCAAAACAGTGCCAAACAGTGTCGCTACAGTGCCAAACAGTGTGGCTACAGTGCCAAACCGTGTCGGTGCAGTGCCAAACAGTGTCGCTGCAATGTGAAGTCAACTTTGTTTTCTTAATCTATGTGAAGGTCAAAACAGGACGATTATTTCGGGACGGAGGGAGTAATACATATAAGATGCCAACTAACAGGTGTCTAAATGACCCCTCATGCACTTTGTACATTATTTTGGACACCCAAATAAACACTGCACATTATTTTCATAAACCATTTTGGTCATCATAACTTAGCACCATCATTCTACAACTCTACATCATACACCCCATTAACAATTTTCATGTAATGAGGGCAGTGACTTTCAATAGCATCTTAGAATGATTATCTCTCATATTATGTACCTGGGCTGCTTCATTGGCTGCATTTTTGGTCCACAAAGAAAGTCTGTCCTGCCGCTGACGCACACTGGCAACCACACCACATATCTCCTCTGTTTCATCAAATCTCTCACCAATCAATGCCATCAACTATACAACAAAAAATAGAATTGTAAGACAATGATGTCCGTAATATTAAAATTTGAAGAGGAGAGTTCCATCCAGTATATATTACAGTTTCAAGCCACATGGTATCCAGATTTGGCTTTCTACTGATGATGACCGTCCACTTGCCTCCATTTGCACACTCAGGATCTTCCCATTTGGGCTCAATACCAGCCTTGAACAAGTGAAAGTCTGCATTGAGAGGTACTTGGCTAGGCTTTATTATCTGATCATACAAGCTGCATGAGAAAATTATTGATTGAATTAAAACCTATGCATTCAGCACATTTCCTAATGACCATTTCTTACACAGAAGTACTTTACTTCGTCTTCCCCAGACGTAGCCAAACTCAGATGAATCTAACATTTCTATGTTCAAAGAGGTCAAAGAACATATAACGGGTCTGGACGTGCTCTAGAGAGGTTTCATTGACCAGTATAAGAGCAAATCATATAACATCTAATAGATTTGAACTATTAAAATGAACAGATTCACTTGAAAAACGATCGCTAAAGTCATATAACTAAGAACATTGAGAATTGAGGAGTTATACCACCAGAATTCTTCGACAGTGTCGAAAGTGTAGATTTTGCGCATAGAGCTGCCCCAGGCAGCACCTGGCTTAGGCTTCGACTGATTGTCAAACCACAGAGTCCATTTCCTCTCCAACTTATGCGGCTGATTGGAAGGTGCCTCCACCGCGGCTGCCACCGCGGCTGCCACCGCGGCTGCCACCGGAGCCTCTGCTGATTCAGCTGCCGTATCAGTTTCCATAGCGTAATTATAGATCTCTGATTTCCAAAGCGTATAAAGTAGTTCTAGAATCGAGACTGGGAACAAGCTCCTGAAAGGTTTAATTTAGGCGAGTTCGTAGGAATGGACTTGGTTTGATGTACTAAGAAACATATGGCCCAATTATGTATTCAGCCCAATGTCAATTGAGACCAAATATTATTCCCAAATAAACTTAAAAATAAAAGGTCAAAATAATCAAGTATCCCAAACTTTGAAGAGATGTGAGGTAAACGCCCCTAAACTGTATATCGAATTTAAATATTTCTAATTTTATATAAAAAGTTATGTTAGCACCATAATAATCAAAAATCCCAAACTTTGACACATTATTAATAGAGTGGTTGAAAAGATAAAAAGTTATCTTGAGGACAATAAAAATGAAAAGTAAGACACATAAAAAGTTAATAAAGTAAAAATGAATCATGACCACTCAAATATTATCAAATATGATATGAGACATAAGTAGTGAAACTCATAAAAAGGATAATGTGATATAAAAATGGGAAAACAATTTTAAATAATACAAACTATCTTCCATTAACCAAGAATAATACATACTTTGGAAATTACGTTTAATAATACCAACTATCCAAACATAGACCAAAAGTGATATAGAGCAATTTTTCAATGAAAATTCAGTTATTTAATTCATCAAAAAGTAGTATCAAAATATCAAATAAGTGATTGTATTTCCAAATATCATTTAATAGATAATTTGCTATTAGATTTTAATGTCTCAAAGGATTGGATTTCTTGATGAAAAGTGGCTCCATATTATTTTTGTTTTATATGCAAATAGTTGGTATTATTAAAAATCATTTTCAAAGTATCTATTATTCTTGATTCATGGGAGATAGTTTGTATTATATAAAGTTATATTCAAAGAGATTGTCATATCTTTCCACCTTTGAAAATGAAAGTTACACGGTTAGGGGTCACCAAATTTTTTAAATATTCCAACAAACCGAACTGGATTTTATTGAATTGAGAATCGAATGATCATATGTAATTGGATTTGAATTTGTTAATATTTCTAGCACATTTGAATTGCCTATATCATTATTTAGATGAGTTAATTATCAAAATAGGACTAAAATTCATTCATTTTTCACAAATAGGACCAAAAATTAAACTATGTTTGCATAGGACTAATTATGTGTACCTTGGACAATTATACCCTTATAGCTATTAAAATGTTTTAATTCCTAATAAAATAATAAAAAAAAATTCGTAAAACATACTAAAAAATTAAGAAAAACATTTCGATATTAAAATTTTAATTAATTTTTTTTTCAAAAAATTAAAAAAAATTAAAAAAAAATAAAAAAAAAACTCAAAAAAAAAAATCGCCGCCGCCTCTACCGCCTCAGCACCACCACCTCCAGTCACCAGGGGGAAAATGCCAAGTTCATTACGAATGCCATATTTATGGCAAAAAAAAAATGAAAATGTTGGCATTCGAAAAGAGAAATATGCCACTTTTTTGGCATTTTCAGAAAAAATGGCATTTTTCTGGGAAAATGGCATTTTTTCATCGCCCGGTGGTGGTGGTGCTGGGAGGTAGTACAGGCGGTGGGAAAGGCATCCATATTTTTTTAAATTTTTTTTACGGAGTTTTACTATTTTTTATTAATTTTTTTAAATATAAAATTATTTTTAAAAAAAAAAGATTTTGAATTTTTTATTTTATAAAAATTTTATAAATTTTTTAATTATATTTCTACGAATTTTTGAATTTTTTTCGAATTTATTATGAAATAAACATTTAATTATGGCTTTTGACTATTTTTAATTCATATTTAATGAAAGGGTAAGAATGGAATGCAAAAATAGGTATGTTTCCAATAGGACTCATATGGTCCTATTTTAGAATAAAAACATAACAAGTCCTATTTTAGATTTTTGTCATACTTTTAGTCCTATTTGAACTAATTTCTATATTTAGATTAGTGGTGGATATATTATTTTGGTTTTACTGAACACAAATCGAATTTAATTGAATTGAGAACCGAATTATGTGTAATTTGATTTGAGGTTATTAATATCTCTTTCAAATTATACAAAGTCTAATCGAATCAAACTGAGAAAATCCGAATATAATTGAATTGAACTAAAATAAATCGATTAAATGTTGATATTTTTTGACAGGATGTTGATATATTATAAAAAATTAATAAAACCAAATTAAACAGAACAAACTAAAGTTAATCGTATGATTTTCGTATAGTAATTACTTTTTTAATATATATGAGGCCAAAGTGAAAACAGATAAAATCGAACTCGATTTCATACGTCAAATTCATAGGGTAAACAATTCTTATGTACACAAAATTTATACCCATTCTGCTTCGGCACATATTTGTACGCGATTTTCTATCCTTACATAAAATTATTGTATTAGTTGTTTGTATATATGTGGTTTGATCCTCCTCTTGCATTGTTTTTTTGTTGTTGCATCAATAAAATCTGGTAAGTGACTCCCGGCTTTTGCTCTACTGATTTTGGTAGTTTGACTTCCGGGATAAAAAAAAATTGTTTGTATATATGCACGGACAAATATAATACGTTCCTCTATAATTGTCCCATTTTTTCATTTTTGTATGTAACAGCAGTTTTATGGCCCGTGGTTACATTTTGGTGGTTTGCTTTTGGTGGTTTGCCTTCCGTATGCAACCGCAGTTTTATGGCCCGTGGGGTCCATGGCAACACGTGGCAGAAAATGGAGCATCCGTGTAGTGAAGTACTGAGGCGGTTCTAGAAATGGGGCGATGTGCATGCTTGCCACGAATTCGATCATTTCCTACTAAAATTTTCTGTAATAATAAACCACCGATCGATAGAATTATATTATACAGTCCTTCCTTCCATTCCCTTCTTCACATACCATTGCTCGGAGAGACTGCTCTGGACACAGAACAACATATGGCGACTGTAGACCGCAACACCGCCCTCGCCACGGAGGCGCCGCTGGCTCCGGTCACCATGCAGCGGAAGCTCCGCACCGACCTTGAAGATTCCATTCCCAAGCCTTGTAAGTTCTTCAATTCGATCTTCCAGTGCCCGCCGCTTTCACGTTTTTCTTTGACATGCATCTACCCTTTCTATTGACATACACCTCTTCCTCTTTTTCCTTATGATTTTTCTTCTCCTTCTTCCTTCATCATATGATCATGGAGTTGAATGGAAAGTAGGTGATCTGGTTTCATCTTTTTTACAAGCAGCTTATGATCTTATATAGATATCATTCTAAATTTTGATGATTGAAAAATACTTAATTAAATACCTTCTTATATTGGTTACTACTAGTATATTGGTTTCTAGTAAGTGTATGGCCGGGTTGGGTTTTGGGCGATGATGTGGCGTGTATGGGGTTGCTTTGCTTTTTTCAGATCTGGCAAGGGCGAGTGTGGCACCGGATACAGAGCATCCAAACGGGACGCAGGGACGGAAGCATAATAACTGGAGTGTCCTCCAACAGCATGTAGCATACTTCGACCTAGACAAGGATGGAATTATTTACCCAACCGAGACTTACTATGCCAGCCGTCAGATGGGTTTCAATGTCATTATCTCCTTCCTTATAGCACTTGTTATTCATGGGGGAATGAGTTACATCTCTCTTCCAGTAAGTGCTACTGTAATGTCTCCTCCTGGCTGCTGCACATTACTTTGTTACTAGTATATACCATCCTCCGTTCCATAAAAGTTAGCAACATTTTGACTTTGACCGTAATTATATTTATTTACGTATTAGCAAACATTAAAAAAAGTTAATATATTGGAAATTTACATTAATACAAATTTATTAATATTTTATACATAATATTTGTATTATATATATTATTAGAAAATCGTAGTCAAAACTTTTATGGAACGGAGGAAGTATAACACAACTAATCATAACTAGCAAGTGGTTGTATTCATTTGAGGATCTATTATCATATTGCACATTATATTATAATGTGCAATCGTAAAATTTGTTTGATAGCAGAGGGCCTAATGTGCGGAATTTACATACTTAGTATTGTATTGAACTACTGTTTTTTAGTGTGGGAATTGGCCCTCCCTTGGATTGGGTTAGAGCCTCCCCCCTGTCACCATAGCACCATCAACCTTCACCTCTCTAGCTAGGGAGTGCTAGACGGTGGCCCAAAAAATCTTGGTATATATACATATTCAAGAATATGCTGAACTATAAATGTCCCCTACCTTAAATATTAAGTTTTGACTCTAGCTCCACGTGCTTTGTTGGGTCGGGGTGTGGCGGGGTGTGGGGGGCTCCGAGGGTGGGAGATTCCACCTTTTGGATCAAAGTTGTGACTCTAGCTCCACTAAGAATGTGTACAATAAACTTTAATTCCAACGACACCTCCGCTACAAAGTAGTATATAGTAGATGTTATTTTTCCTTGTACATATTTGTCTAAGTAAAATTTTAAGTCAACTATAGATATACAACTATACTTCACTTTGCTAAAAGCAAGTGAAAAAATGTACCACTGTGGAATTCATATAGATCCAAACAAATAGTGAACTTGAAAATTTAAAAAATATAGTCTTTTAAAGGTAAATTCTAAAATGCCTTGAAAGATCTAAAGGAATAGATCCCCATACTACCTAGGTTCCATTCTATAATAGTTCAGCTCCAAAGAAACTCAAAGCTTTACATGTCATTTTTTGCAGGGATGGATGCCTTCGCTTTATTTCCCAATATACATAGAAAACATACATAAGAACAAACACGGGAGTGATACAGGGACCTATGATGTGGAGGGCAGGCAAGTATTCTTTCCCATTGTTAGGATGTATTTGGTTTCAAGGAACTTAGGAAGGGAAGAAGATGTGTGGGTGGTTTTGACATTTACATTTCATGTGCTTCAGGTTTCTTCCTGTGAACTTTGAGAATATCTTCAGCAAGTATGCAAGAACTGTCCCAGACAAGCTGACGTTAGGAGAGCTGTGGGAGATGACGCAGGGCAACCGCAACACGTTCGACGTCTTCGGGTGGGTTGCATCCAAATTGGAGTGGGGAATTTTGTACCTTCTCGCCAAAGACAGCGATGGAATGCTATCTAAAGAAGCGATCAGGCGATGCTTTGATGGGAGCTTGTTCGAATACTGCGCGAAGATGCAGAAGGGACGAGAAGCTAAGATGGAATAAACTGATGAATAATAAACAACCTTACCAATGTTAATAGCGCAGGATCCTCATAACCAACCTTAATAAAAGGAAGTCTTGTACCCAGATACCAGTTTATGTTTTATACGATGCAAGTTTTCTTGTGCAAGTTTTATCAGCTTTAATTTTGAGTTTTCATTCTAGGAGCTTTTGTGATGTTTCATGTTTCTATGTTGTAATCAGTCTTCAATATATGTAAGAACTTCACAACGGCATGCCCTTTAGTTTGTTAATGAAACTGATAATTTGAGGTCATTTGTCAAACATACAAGGGGAAAACCAATTATATGTTTAAGCGCGTAAAAATGAGGGGAGCATTCCTCAACATATTTATATGGTCATTGATATACTCCGTACTAAACTATTATGGTCAGGTTTGGTGACAGTTTTTTCGGCTTATCACGCGGAAGTTCGTAGTAAGCAGAAAAAGTAAAGTTAGAGTTGTTTCTTCTGAAGTTACCGTAGAAGATCATTTATCTATTTTAGTGTTATCAAAGAGGTTCTATTTTCAAAATTTAGAAAACGTAAATAAAATGAGTGAAAAGCTTGCTAACATTCTACCAGAAATAGTCTCCCGTGTAGGTTTTTGCATGTCACAAGACAACCTATGTGCTTCTTCAAGTCATATTTGTAGGGTTAATATTGATGTTGACAGATTTGTAAGTTTATCAGTTGTTTTATTATGTGCAAACAATTAAAGGACTCTGTATATTCTTATAGCTAAGATATCGATTGGAAATACTCTGGTTCCAAAAGATCTTGACACTTTGACTTCACAATTTTTAAGGAAATAAATTTGATTTTACTGTAGAGTACATTGTTTGGCACTGTTTGACACTGTTTTGTGTAGATTTATTTGTCAAATAAAGCAAATAAGGAAGTGTAAAGATCTTTTTGGTATTGCTAAAAATAGAAAGTGTAAAGATCTTTCAGAACCGGGGGGAGTAATTTTCAGTGAGGATGTTTTATATTGGATGGTAATTTTCTGATCAAATTCCTACCGATCTAGTAAATGTTTGAGGCTTAAATCAATCCAATTTTTTTAAGGATGCTTTCTAATTTATTACTCCCTCATCTCAAACTAAATGTCACAATTTCTTTTTTTGGATGCTTCAAAACAAAGTCACATTTCATTATTTGGTAAAGAAATTCATATTAATACAAAACAGTAACAAACAGTGTCAAAATTGTATGTTCTACAATAAAATTTGCCTCTCCGTAAAACAAATTCATTAATCTTTGTTAAATCAAAGTGTGAATAAATAAATGTGTGTTCTAACTTTGCTTATCATCTTCATGAGTAAATAAATGTGTCTGTGCATATAGTACTAGACTATGAACCCACGCATTGCACGGGAAAAATCAACTCACAATACTCAAATAAAAAAGAGATTGAATGAATATTGTATACTACCTCTGACTCGGGTAACGGTTCAAATTGAGTTTACGATATTTGACAGTCATAAATTTAAGTGATCCTTGTTAATAATAAAAATTACATATTCAAAAATTACATTAAAAGTATATAAAGAAAAAGGTTAAGAAAAATTTACATTAATTTTCATCTAACTTTTTATTTCATTAATTAAATATATTTTAAATACAGATTATAATTTTTCTATAATTTAGCAGAATTAGAAAATTTAATCAGTTCAGTCAGAATTTCATAATTTGAGCAGTTTTAATTAATTATGTCAATTGCAATGTTACTTAACGGGGTCTTATGAATAAGTACTACTTCACTTGACTTCCATGGATGCCACTTATGAGAGAATGAGCTTTAATGTTATGACTTGAAAAATGATTCAATGAGAAAATAGGTGGAAATAATTGGAGAAATTCAATTGTCCACCCAATTCTTTTATATTATATAATGAATTCCTTTAAATTATATAAAGATTAATTATAGCCAAGGTTTATTTTTTAGTTTACGCATTCAAACTAGAGTTCTTATGTCGATATCCATATAAGCATCATCATTGCTCTGAGAAAATAAAAATGCATATCTATTACTTGTTTGATCACTATTATATTATCTTGATCTTTGTATTTGATGCATTCTGTGATGAAAAAGAGTGCTCCAAGTCCAGGTTAGGAACTAGACCGAGCAAGGAAAAAACTTGACTTGTTGGTCATTTACAATTCCAAATCGTAACCAATTCTCAGAACTGGTCCAAACTACTTCTAATTCATCCGGAACAAGCTCAAAGCCCAGGTCCGACACAGCTATATCCAGGTCTCGACTGGTTCTAGGTACCCGGGCAGTCCGGACCTGGTCCCGTTCTATTTTTTCTTTTCGTTTTTTCTCATTTCCAAGGCAAGAAAAAAGTCACGGGTCCAGGACCAGAGCCGCCTGATTCGGTCTCCAAGTAGGTGAACCCGGACCAAGTACTTCTCGTGGGCAGATAGGATCGGTCCAAAATTCATAACCGGAAATTCCGATTTGGTCCACATAGTTCAATTTATTTTTTTAAAAATGGCTAAAAGGCATGTTAAATTCAGTAAGCCATTGCTAGTTTTTTATAAGACAAATATGTAAGAGTTAAAAAACGTTTATAGTTGTTCAGTAGTAACTAAGAGCATCATCAATGCTACAATGTGCACGATGCACATGTGGCATGAGAGATAGTCATATAAATATTATCAAATAAATTATCTCTCTCCTTATTTGAATGATTTTATATGATTTTGGCATGTTTTTCTCGACAATATCAATAAGACCATCTAAATGTTGACATTGTTGTTGACATTGCAAAGAAAACCTTAACAAAATTGTACAAAATCATTTAAATAAGGAGTACAATAATTTATTTACTAATATTTATGTGACTATCTTTCATTACACATGTGCGCACCATGCACATTGTAGCATGTATATTGAAATAGCTCTCAAGAATAATGGACTAGATTCATCTTGGGCCTTGATAGAGTATATAGACTCGGACCCCCGGGTCTCACGACTATTGGACCCGGACAGCGGCCCACGTACACTCATCTGATAGCATTTTCATTATTGTACATTACTCTCTCCGTCCCTAATAACTTTGCCAAGTTTGACCAGCACGAGGATTAATAAAGTAAAAACTGTGTGGTTGAGGTTTGTGCTAAGGAGAGAGAATTAACTGAAACCACAAATGCTTTACTTAAAGGGGAAAGTGGCAAAGTTAATGGGACATCCAAAAAAGGAAAGTTGGCAAAGTTATAAGGGACGGAGGGAGTATTATTATTCAGGTGTTCTAGATTAGCCTTTTATATTATCAGTCCATTTATGTAACTGGGTTTGTTAGGCCCATATTAGAGGCTCAAACCCGGATTTCTTCTATATATACTCCCTTAGGGAGTTCTTGTAAACCTAATTTCATAATTCTAATTCACATTACTACTCATTCATCTTCTTCCTCACATTATCTCAAATCTCTCCATTTTATTATATAGTTTGGATTCCTATAATTCATCAATGGTGCTTTCATTGAGAGATTAGAGCAAAATCAAGTTAGATTCCTCCCAAAATCTCCAAAAACTCATCCAAATCACAAAAAATCAATCAAAAAAGTGTTCTGAAAAAAAAAGCAAAGAATGAAAAAAAACTGGAGTTTGGCCGCAGAAGCTCGCCGCCCGTTGCCGGAGACCCATTCCCGTTGCAACCACCCGCCATGGCCGGAGAAGCTCGCCGCCCGATCCCTGGACTGAGCTAGAGCCGCCGGTTCCGTCTTCTGCAGCTCCTCACTGTACCAAGTACGATCTCCTCTGTCACAGTCTTTCCGGCGTCGCGCCTGGTCGCCCCACCACCGAACTGGCCTCCGTCGCTGCTCAAAACGGTCGGAACCTAGGCCACGGTTACCGTCTCCAGTCATTTCACTCGGTTGCTCGAGCTTGACCTCGAACATCCGCCATTAATGGCAGCTAAAAGCTCCTGAAGTAACAGATCTGAAATCCCCTGCTGACCCAACTCAAAGGGTGTATCAAACGTCGCCGGTGCTGAGGAAGATTCACCAACGCTACAGGAGCTCTAGCAATCCGCTCCTAGCCGTTTTTCGCTCTGCCACCTGGTCAACCTGAGGAAGGCATCAGTCTCTGCCTGAGGAAGTTTCGTCGCCGAGTTCTGCCTTCACTGCTCCTACTTGCCTGCGTGGGACTCTTTAGGAGCATACGAAGGTAACAAAGCTGAAAGGGGCTGCCCACTTTGCAAAGATGGCAGCTGGAACTCTTTGGGAGGATAGGGTGGCTCCAATATTGGTGGGCCGTGGAATAAGAAATCAAAATCCAATCTCGGCCCATTATCTCAAACAGTCCAAATAAAAAAGCTAAGTGCCCAATACTCCTATTTATACACTTAAGATAATTATTAAATGATAGTAATATAATTATTACTATTATTAATTATATTATTTCCACCACCATTATGGCGGGTTAAAAACCCCCGAGGTGGTGAAGACCATTATGAGGGATTAAAATTTCTCGAGGTCGCTAATGATGCATCATTATTGGCATTATTATTTATCATCGTCATTAGAGCGGGTCAAAAAACCCCAAAGTGGTGGACCCGAGCTCTAGTCTACCGACCATCTTTATTTGATGATTTGAATTATATTTGGGTCCCTCGACCTGCCCTAGCCACCTTTATTTGGTGACTCGGGCATCTAAAAATGAGAGCCGCTACCGGCCGCACATGGCATTATGCCCGAGAGCGGTAAACGGTACACCTCGTTCCCCGAGACGCTAATCGCGTCGCCCAAAAGCCGTTGCCATGAACAACGCACCTATTGTATTCCACTTATTTTTTGGAAATGTAAATAGAAGATACCACGTGTCGTATCAGCAGCCTTCGAGCGAAAGGCTCAGGTCTGCTCCACTTTGTATTTTGTATCAACGAAAGGCTCAGGCCCAGCTGAGAGAGCACGTCGTATCGGCCCCTTAGAGCGAAACGCTCAGGCAGGGCCGACGATGTCCCCAGGACGACGGGCCCATAAACGGCCCACGTCTTGAAATGGGAAGTTCACCGCGTCGTCCACGTGCCCGATCGTAGGACGACAGGTCTGAAATCATGGCCGAGGTGACAAAATCCCCAAACTCAGGGTCGGGCAACGGCAGCCGTTGGAAACCAACCAAAAGTCTAGCCCGCGTCATAAATAGGTGACGGGACCCCCCTGAGATCACGGACGTTATAAATGAAGTCCGAACCGGCCGAAGGACTAGCGACCCCTTCGGCCGAAGCCTGAAAGAAGGACACTCCTTGAAATGGGGAACGAAATCAAAAAAAAAAGGAAAAGAAAAGGAAAAAGAAAAAATAAAAGAGGGAAGCCGAGGACCGCGCGCACTCGCCGGCCTCGAGCAACAAAAAATGAAATCCCCAAAACAATACTAAGTACATATCAGGCAAATACTACACATTATGGACGAAGCAAGACCATACATGCGGATTAGATGAGCGCCTAGCGCCGTCCCTCATCTTAGACGAGCGCCCAGCGCCGTCCCTCATCTTAGATGAGCTGAGCGCCCAGCGCCGTCCCTCATCTTAGATGAGCTGAGCGCCCAACGCCGTCCTTCATTTTTAGACGAGCGCCCAGCGCCGTCCCTCATCTTAGACGAGCGCTTAGCGCCGTCCCTCATTTTCAGACGAGCGCCCAGCGCCGTCCATCATCTTAGACGAGCGCCCAGCGCCGTCCCTCATTTTCAGATGAGCGCCCAGCGTCGTCCCTCATCTCAGACGAGCACCCAGCGCCGTCCATCATCTCAGACGAGCGCCCAGCGCCGTCCATCATCTCAGACGAGCGCCTAGCGCCGTCACTCATTTTCAGACGAGCGCCCAACGCCGTCCATCATTTCAGACGAGCGCCCAACGCCATCCTTCATCTTCAGACGAGCGCCGAGCGCCGTCCTTCATCCTTAGTCGAGCGCCCAGCGTCGTCCCTCATCTCAGACGAGCGCCCAGCGCCGCCCCTTAGACGAGCGCCCAGCGCCGTCCCTCATCTTCAGACGAGCGCCCAGCGTCGTCCCTCATCTTCAGACGAGCGCCCAGCGTCGTCCCTCATCTTCGGACCAGCTCCACCGTCCTTCATGTTCAGTCCAGCGTCAACGCCTTGCCCTTCCTCATATCACGACCGGCCCCTCGGCCTCGGCGTGATCATCTATCTCAAGACCGGCTTCCTCAGCGCCGCGAGTCTTGAGCTAGCGATCGGGCTCACCACCCCTTCCTGGATGGTGACCATCGCCTTTATATGAGGATCGGCTTCATCAGCGCCTCGTCATCACATTATAGGACCGACTCCTCATCGCCGTTGTCCTCACATCACGACCGGCCCCTTGGCCTCGGCGTGATCATCTATCTCAAGACCGACTTTCTCAGCGCCGCGAGTCTTGAGCTAGCGATCGGGCTCGCCATTCCTTCTCGAATGGTGACCATCGCCTTTATATGACGATCGGCTTCATCAGCGCCTCGTCATCATATTATAGGACCGGCTCCTCATCGCCGTTGTCCTCACATCACGACCGGCCCATAGGCCTCGGCGTGATTATCTATCTCAAGACTGGCTTTCTCAGCGCCGAGAGTCTTGAGCCAGCGGTCGGGCTCGCCATCCCTTCCCGGATGGTGACCATCGCCTCTATATGACGATTGGCTTCACCATCGCCTCGTCATCATTATTTGGACCGACTCCTCATCGTCGTCGTCCTCATATCACGACCGACCCCCTCGGTCTCGACGTGATTATTTATCTCGAGACCGGTCTTAGTCATTCCTTTACCGGATGGCGACCGTTGCATGGATCTTCGGACCGGCCCCTCAGTGCCTTCGTCCTCATATCACGACCGGCCCCCTCGGCCTCGACGTGGTTATTTATCTCGAGACCGGTCTTAGTCATTCCTTCACCGGATGGTGACCGTTGCATGGATTTTTGGACCGGCCCCTCATCGCCGTCGTCCTCACATCATGCCCGGCCCCTCGGCCTCGGCGTGATTATCTATCTCAAAACCGGCTTCCTCAGCGCCGAGAGTCTTGAGCTGGCGATCGGGCTCACCATCTCTTCCTGGATGGTGACCGTCGCCTTTATATGATGATTGGCCCATCATGGCCTCGTCATCATTTATTGGAACGACTCATCATCGCCGTCATGCTCACATCGCGGCAGACCCCTCGGTCTCAACGCGATCTTGAGCTAGCGATTGGGCTCACCATCCCTTCCTGGATGGTGACCATCGCCTCTATATGACGGCCGGCTCATCATTGCCCCGTCATCATATTTCGGATTGGCTCTTTTCGTCGCCATCCGCGCATCACGATCGGCCCCTCGGCCTCAGCGTGACTATCGATCTCAAGACCGGCTTCCTCAGCGCCGAGAGTCTTGAGCTAGCGATCAGGCTCGACATCCCTTCCTGGATGGTGACCATCGCCCTTATATGAGGATCGGCTTCATTCTTGCCTCGTCATCATATTATCGGATCGGCTCATCATCTCTGTCCGCACATCACGATCAGCCCCTCGGCCTCGGCGTGATTATCTATCCCCAAGACCGGTCTCAGTCATTCCTTCATCAGATGGCGACTGCTGCTTGGACTTTTGGATCAGCCTCATAGTGCTGACGACCTCGCATCACGATCGGCCCCTCGGCCACGGCGTCACACCTTATCCCAACACCGGCTTCATCAGCGTTGAGTGTGTTGGGCTAGCGATCAGGCTCGCCATCCCCTCCTGGATGGTGACTATCGCCTCTATATGATGATCGGCTCCATCATCGCCTTGTCATCATATTTCGGACTGGCTCATCATTGTTGTCCGCACACCACGATCAGCCTCTCGGCCTCGACGTGATTATTTATCTCAAGACCGGCTCCCAGCGCCGAAGTCTTGTTATAGCGATTGGGCTCGCCATCCCTTCCCGGACGGCGACCGTCGCCCCTATATGACGCATGGCTTATCATCGCCTCGTCCTCATATTTGGACCATCTCACCAGCGCTATCGTCCCCATATTCGGACCGGTTCGTCAGCGTTGTCGTCCTCATATTCGGACCGACTCATCAGCGTCGTCGTCCTCATATTCAGACGGGCGTCCACCGCCTCATCCTCCTATTCAGATATAGCGAACATCTTGCGGTCTCCGGCTGAAAGGCTAAAGGAGCCCAGAGTTCGGCCATATATCGCTCTGTCATCTTTATTTGATGACGAAGAGCTCATCTACAGGCCCATCGGCCATATATCGCTCTGTTATCTTTATTTGATGACGAAGAGCTAATCTACAGGCCCATCGGCCATATATCGCTCGGTCATCTTTATTTGATGACGAAGGGCTAATCTACAGGCCCATCGGCCATATATCGCTCTGTCATCTTTATTTGATGACGAAGGGCTCATCTACAGGTCCATCGGCCACGTATCGTTCTGTCATCTTTATTTGATGATGAGGAACTCATTTGTAGGCCTCTGAGCCATATCTTGCCCCGTCATCTTTATTTGATGACGTGGAGTTCTCCTACAGGCCTCTCGGCCATACATCGCCCTGTCATCTTTATTTGACGACGTGGAGCTCTTATGCAGGCCCCTCGGCCACACATCGCCCCGTCGTCTTTATTTGACGACGTGGAGCTCTTATGCAGGCCCCTCGGCCGCACCATTGCCCCGTCGTCTTTATTTGACGACGTGGAGCTCTTATGCAGGCCCCTCGGCCGCACCATCACCCCGTCGTCTTTATTTGACGATGTGGAGCTCTTATGCAGGCCCCTCGGCCGCACCATCGCCTCGTCGTCTTTATTTGACGACGTGGAGCTCTTATGCAGGCCCCTCGGCCGCACCATCGCCCCGTCGTCTTTATTTGACGACGTCGAGCTCTTATGCAGGCCCCTCGGCCGCACCATCGCCCCGTCGTCTTTATTTGACGACGTGGAGCTCTTATGCAGGCCCCTCGGCCGCACCATCGCCCCGTCGTCTTTATTTGACGACGTGGAGCTCTTGTGCAGGCCCCCTCGGCCGTACCATCGCCCCGTAGTCTTTATTTGACGACGTGGAGCTCTTATGCAGGCCCCTCGGCCGCACCATCGCCCCGTCGTCTTTATTTGACGACGTGGAGCTCTTATGCAGGCCCCTCGGCCGCACCATCACCCCGTCGTCTTTATTTGACGACGTGGAGCTCTTATGCAGGCCCCTCGGCCGCACCATCGCCCCGTCGTCTTTATTTGACGACATGTAGCTCTTATGCAGGCCCCTCGGCCACACCATCGCCCCGTCGTCTTTATTTGACGACGTGGAGCTCTTATGCAGGCCCCTCGGCCGCACACATCGCCCAATCGTCTTTATTTGACGACGTTGAGCTCTATGCAGGTCCCTCGGCCATACATCGCCTCGTCGTCCTTATTCGACAATGTGGAGCTCTCGTACAGGCCTCTCGGCCCATCGGCCTTACGTTCTGGTCATCTTTATATGATGAACCAGACATCATATTATGGACGGTCGCTCGACCCATCCCTTAGTCATCTTTATTTGATGACTAGGACTACTGATCATGATGAGCTACCCACATCTAGAGATCGGCCTCGACCATCCAGCAGACGGGCACCGCTGCAGCTCCATCTCCAGGCTGAAGGGCTCGCACCTTTTGTTTCATTTTGGGGGCATCCGGTGTACTCTTTTTCCCTCATTAGGATTTTTTCCCACAGGGTTTTTCCTAATGAGGTTTTTAACGAGGCATCTCCCCATCGTGGATCAAAAGGTGTCAAGCCTCGGCCCCTGTTGAAGACATCATCCGACACGCATTACTCTACTCCTCTTCACCTCATTACACTCGCCTCAAGGAGTGGGGGACTGGAAGAGCGGGGGACTTAGCGACTCTGTTAACCAAAGAAGCAGAAATTCAAATTTTTGTTCACGAAATTTACTCACCAGACGACGACAGATCAGCACACAGTTCTACTCTCTTTCGCCTCGAATACTCTCGACTCAGAGAGTGGGGGACTCCAGATAGAGTATATAGACTCGGACCCCCGGGTCTCACGACTATTGGACTCGGACAGCGGCCCACGTACACTCAGCTGATAGCATTTTCATTATTGTACATTATTATTATTCAGGTGTTCTAGATTAGCCTTTTATATTATCAGTACATTTATGTAACTGGGTTTGTTAGGCCCATATTAGAGGCTCAGACCCGGATTTCTTCTATATATACTCCCTTAGGGAGTTCTTGTAAACCTAATTTCATAATTCTAATTCACATTACTACTCATTCATCTTCTTCCTCACATTATCTCAAATCTCTCCATTTTATTATATAGTTTGGATTCCTATAATCCATCAGGCCTATTACTATTGGACTGCTCCAGCAAATATAGAATAGCCCTTTGTTATTTCATATTTTCATGGTTCATACTCCGTATATTAACTTTACCATAATTAGAAAGAGAGATCACAATTGTACATTTGTACTTTCCCAATTTAGTTTTGGCATTACGTATTGTTCATGCTTTTGCTCTTCAGACTTCCTCTCTCAAATCTGAGAATTCACAACAGCTCATGGATTTGAAAAAATAAAAGGGAAAACTATCAAATAAATCCCTGTACTATACCGAAAAAGTCGATTAGGCCCTCGTACTTTACAAACACTCAATTAAAAAACGTTCAATTAAACCCTTTTGGTGGGTAAGTAACCGATTTCCCGGTTAAACGACGACGATGACTACGATGTTCTCAAACCCCAACAACGACGGCTTCCGGGAAACATGTTACATTTAACCGGGAAATCAGTTACTTACTGACCGAATGAGTTTAATTGAACGTTTTTTAATAGTTCGAAGACTTAATTGAGTGTTTGTAAAGTACGAGAGCCTAATCGACTTTTTCGCTATAGTACGATGGCTTATTTGATAGTTTTCCCAAAATAAAAACACCACAAACCCAAGATTATTAATTTTTTCTTTTAATGGGTATAACACTATAACGGCATCATGTACGATTTCCAATAATCATATTTTTTCCAATATTGATACTTTTGTTAGGATCAATATTTGACTGATACGTCAGAGAGACGCAATAGTGTGTGAATACAAATCTAGCTTAGATCACGATACAAAATTTCTCATATGGAAATGCCTGTGGTATGGCTAATCCACTAAATTCAAAACATCAATGGCTTCGTGTGCCCAAAACTTCCCAACCGAAAATCAGGACCAGACATGCCCTCCATCAGACTTCTTCTGTTTCTTCTTCTTCTTTCTCTCTTCCTTGATTTCTGCCCTTGCCTCGATTCGCTTTGTGTTGCGAGAACGTATTTCTAATAATTTTGTTTTTGCATCTCTGAAAGGTGCGTCTGACTTTAATGCCATCATTTGCTGAGATAGAGTGAAAGTATATCAGGATAAACATCAAGAGAATCAAAGTTTGAGGCAAATTTTGGGTTCCAGCCGATTCCTAATAATATGTCAATGTAGCCAGGAAATCTAACATTCAACTGCTAAAAAACATGAACAAATTTCAATCCAGGCCAAAATCGAGCCTCAGCAGCAGCATGTCACATTCGTGCCTCAGTGCCTGGTGGTTAAATTTAAACACTCATACATTACTCTTACACAAGAGTTAACCGAATGAATATTTAAATTTCGTGGACTTGAAACCAATGCAACATGCTAACAAGGGTTGGCTATATTAGTGGGAATTTTTGAATAATTGGCTCGGATCGAAAATTGTGGGTAAAAATTTCATTTCTGAAATAAAACAGGCTAGACAAAAAAAAAATAGTGTGAGTTACCTTGAGATGATCCATCGCAGCCAGGTTAAAGCCAAGTGTATCTTTGCATTCCTGTACCAATTCAGACCTTAACTTTATAAATGTTTTCACTTCAGTAACAGTTGAAATAAAATTGAAAGATCAATGAAGTTATACCTGAACTCTTGTAGGGATTACATCTTGGAGAAGAGCGAGTAGAGGTCTAGCAGATACAGTTGCAACAAGCTGGTTATGGTGCAGTTGTAGCAACACTGTGGTCATCCTACAGACAAGCTCCACCTGCCAAAACATAGTCAAAAAGCAGAATGTATTACCAAATGACGGTGCAAGGAAAAAATTTATTATACTCCTTTTGCCTCTATATCTTTAGTCAAAAACATTATTATACTGGGGTCTCTTTGGAACAGAAAAATTGATGGGGAAACATTGTTTGGAGGAAATATAAAAATTTGGCTCCAACTCAATAAATCTACTTTAGATATTTGTTCAAACTGATTTTTTTATTATTATATTATTAAGATAGGAAATATAAATATATGTAAAATTTCAAAGAGTTTTAAAATTTTAACCAAATGTGGTTTTCCTTCATTCTTTCCAAGGTAAAACCAAACCAAAAAAAAAAACATACTTTTTTCCTTCAACTTAGCTACAATTTTCCAGGATCTAAACATAGCCTTAAGCATTTATAACTGAATGGAAAATGCGAGGTAAGGAGCTTCTGAAACAATACGAAACTAGCACAAAGAGTTGTCACAATGCATATAGAAGATTTTGTATGACCCTTATCCCAGAAATCATAGATATACCTTCTCAGGTATATATGCCCAATCCTTCAAGTAAGCCAAAAGCTTCAGGGCATCACAGAATGGTAGTGCCTGTAAATTGCAACAATTAAGCACACGTTGAGAGGGGTGTATAATTGGTTCGTTATATTCTAATACAATAGTTTATGCATACACCTCTTCCACTAATTACGGTTTACACATTAACTTCATCAAGTGAGATTACTAATGACAACGAATAGACAACTATAGAAGTTCCACTTAACATTTTTCAGCAGGAAAGATAAAAAGCAAATCACAATTTAAAAAATCATTGAAAAGGCAATTACCTCTTTCCATCATTTGCAATGGAGCCAAAGATTCATTATTTTTTGGCTTGAGATTATGATGGAATAAAGCAAAATGGCTCACTAAACTGTCTGCGCTTCTTTGTTATGAAGCAACAGTCAGTCCATGCAATTTTGGACGGGATTTTCACTATGGGTCATTCGGAAACAGTCTCTTTGTGCTTTAGTACAGGGGTAAGACTGCGTACATCTGACCCCCTTACCCCACCGTAGGTGGGAGCCTTTGCGGCACTGGGGTAAATGAAAATGAAATGAAAATGATTGAAAAGGCAATTACCTGTAATTAGCAAATTGAACTTCATACTACAAACAAAAACCACGCCACTCACCAGTAATGTTTGCTCCAAGTCATTTGTGTGGACATTTGAAACTGCACGAAGAACGAAAGAAGAGGGAGATAGCCCAAGCATAAGGATATTTGGCCGAAAAGCAACAACTTTGCCTTTTAATTTCTCCTCCTATATATTGATAAATGAAATTTGTCAAGTCAAGTCAATTAAGAAAAGAGAACTAAAGAAACAAAACAATAGGGCAACCTGGTTGTAAATGGACCAAGTCATTCAGCAACTATTTAGGGCATTGGTTTGTCAATAATGCTATATATACAAGTTCGTTAACCAGTTGGGTAGTAAGTTCCAGCTTGTTTTGTTTAATAGTGTATATGCAATTAATAAAATCTTAATAACTAATATAACTAAGTGATCCTGAAATCAATGAGCTAACGTAACATTTTCTAAGTTGTAATAAAATGTAATGAAATCAATTAGTAGCAAGAGAAAATACCTGCCTTAAGAAAACGAATTGTAGTAAATGTTTTAACTACCAATTGATTCCATTGCACTCCATTACGACGTACCACACATTGCATAGATGCAACATTTTCTATGTGGAAGTGTGTTTTTTAGTGTTGTTTGCTAAAGCTTTCACCTCAAAGTTGAGTTAGGTTGTATAGTCGTGCTCTATGTAGTTCTTAATGAGCCCAATTCAAAATTTGTCTTGTTTAGTGTTATAAACAAATTTCTCGGTAGCCAAGCTTGAGCTATTCACAAAGCACCAATTTTGACAACAAACTATATACCAGAGTTCAAGCTGAGTTGCAGAAGTCTGTATCAAGCACAATCTTGCATAAAGATTTCATACAAACTGTTATGGGTGTGCCCATATCACAAACCAAACTTGAAGTCATTACTAATTGATTCTATTTGTTTCCATCCTAACCGCTAGTACCGATTTCAAGATTGAGATGATGTGATGCCATTTAAAAGTTGTGTACCCATTTGAAATTTACCGAAGGGGAAAAGGGTGAAATGGATCTTTCATATTATATATGATGCCAAATCGTTAGTGTATGTATGTACGTGCGTAGGTACGCATGTATAAATCATGAGAAACTCTGATAATGAAGGACACCACTGACCTCATGTTCAGCAATGCGCTTAGCTTCATGTTCTGCAATGTCTAAGGCTTCAATAATGGAGTCAGTTGCATTAAGAGTTTCTTGAGTCCTCTTTCCTGCTAATGCCACAGCTCCTTCCTCTGGAAGCTCATCCTCCTTCGCTGCATATCTATTCTCTAAGGTGTTGTCAATGTCAGATTCAAAAATCTCCTCTAGCCGTTTCTCTTTCTCTTCCTGCAGTTTTTTAAACACCAAATTTCATTTATTTTAGGAAATTTAACAGGTGAAAGAGAAAATAATAACTTGCACAAAACACATGCTTGTTCCACATCAGTGAGAAATGGGAGATTTCCCTTCCAGCACATGGCATATAAGTGTTGACTGTTTGATTGTAAACTTTTAAGTTTATGATATCATTTGTTGACTGAGTTTGAAGCTATTATACAAGTGAAATGTCACCTCTAAAAGGTTGGGTGGATAAAGGCCCAATTTAACATGATACCAAAGCCTAAACAGATGGTGGTTTGTGAAGCTCCTGCCAACTTCATAGTTGGTTAAGACCCATTTGTCAACCCCTTCAGTTGTCTAATCAAGTTTGCGCTGAGAGGGTGTGTGCAGTTTCTCGCATTGGTTGTTTACTACTTTACTGGGCTCGAGTCTGGTATATAAATGAGCCAAACCTTACTTCTTAAAAATCATTTTGGGGTGAGTAAGGTCTAACTTAACAATATGCAGGGTAGAAAGAAAATATGCAAACTACCTCAATGAAAAAAGGTTCTTCAGTACGATCCCAACGGCGTATTGAACGGTCATGTGATCCCGTTACAAAAAAATCTCCACGGTTGCTAACAGCAAGACACCATATTTCAGCATGATGCCCCTCAAGTGTTAAAAGCAACTCAAATTTGTCAGCATCCCAATATTTCACAAGACGGTCTTTACCCACACTAAACATGTAATGGGTATTGCGCACAAACTTAACAGC